TTTTTTATCTGCTGTGTCATGGGATTTGGCTATTAAAATGTAAAAAAAGAAGAGGGATGAAAGCAGAAGTAGGAGACATTATGTGGCAGCAACTGAAAATTAGATAAAAAAGATGTGTATAAAACTCAATACACTTATCCTAGTGTCTACTTCTAATTTATGGAGGAATAATTGTACAAAACTTCCCACAGTTTGAGTTCACCTTTCGGACTCTAGACACTAAAACAACTACTTACAAACTGTGCTGAATAATTTTTGAAGTCTTTGATGGGACTTGCAAAAGTATTCTATTCTATGTCATACTATTTCTTACAAACTTAATAGCCCTTTAAAATTGTTGCCTTTTTTAATAACAATGAAATTTTCAGATCTGAAGGTAGAATTTGAGAACTGCAGAAAGTTCCAGAGCAGTCCATGTGACTCTCACACGATCCATTATTCTGCAGTTAAGGAACCCCCATTAAATACAAGGAATCCAACAATTCTGATACTGATTCTGATGGATTTTGAATGCACAAAGGCAGGCAACATTTCTCCCAAGGTATTAGAGATGTGCAAGGAGAGGAGCACTGCTCTTACCACATACAGCTGCTTCCAGAGCACAGCCCATTCCTGCAGTGTCGCTGTGACTTCAGTCACCACAGAATCTTCAAGAGGAACAACTGTTTCATATTGCCTGTAGAAAAAGAGGGGAGAAATTAGGAAATGTACCCTGGAAAAAGTAAAAAAAGAAATATGATGGCACAGTAGTTTGTAGAATTCCAGAACTTTAAGTTGTTCAAAATAAGGAGAATATCTTAAGGAAATAATTTTGTTTGTTGTAAAACTGAAGCAACTCCAGAGTCATAGCTACTGTTCCTCCATTACATTCCACAAGATTAAGCTTATGTGAAGCATTTCCTGGTTACCTGTTTAAACGACATCATTCTAATCAAGGTCAATTAAAAGTTTCCATTACTACAGCATGTTAAATAAACTTGCCTGTTAAGTGGGGACCTTCACAATTTGGGTCCCTTCCTTAAGCCAGTCCACCCCTTTTTCCCCCCCCCCTTCAAAAATGTTAGCCAATATCAAAACTACCCAAAATACCTGCTCTCTACTAACATGTCCTATCCAGAAAGCTTTTCAATATTGCAGATAAAATCTAAGGGATCTATCCTCTAATCAAAAGAAAAAAAACTTGTTCCTTTCTGGTAAAGATCTTCCAAAACCATTAAAGGAGAACCACAAGACTGGTTTGGACTGGAAGGGACTTCAAAGCTCATCTCATTCCACCCTGTGCCATGGGCAGGGACACCTTCCACTGCCCCAGTTGCTCCAAACCCCACCCAACCTGGCCTTGAACACTTTCAGAGATGGGGCAGCCACCACCTCCCTGGGCAGACTATGCCAAGGTTTCACTAGCCACAGCTTAAAATATATCTTCTTTAAATGTAAACCCATCAGCATCCCCTGTCTGATTCCTACAGACCCTGCCAAAAGCCCTGTCCCCATCATCTTACAAGCCCCCTTTAGATACTGAAAGGCCACAAGCAGCTCTGTCCAGTGTTCTCTCCTCTCCAGGCTGACCAACCCCACCTCTCCCAGCCCGTCCTCACAGCGGGGTGCTCCAGCCCTGGGGACAGTCCCTGTAAGTCTCTTGGGATGTTTGGGACAGTGAGCAGGTGGCTGTGTGGTGTTCAGCTACCTGCCAGCTTCAACACATGCTCTGTTATTTCACAAGTGCTTATAATGGCACTTGAAATATATTGTGAAATAAAGAATTTTCAAACAAAACATGAAATAACCACACCCCTCTGGTTCAGAAGTGCATTACATTCTGTTGTGTCAACTGGTGCATGAGGCTTTGATACTTTTAAACAGTATATCAGCTTTCGTAATAAGTACCTGAACCGGTTGCCCTTCCAAACCCTAAACTAACATCAAGGACTAATTAACTGCACATCACAGGGAACTGCTCCTTCCCCTAAAGGGAGTACACATTAGGAGTGGTTACTCTATGCAATGTACATCATTTTATTACACCCCAAAATTATGAAGCATCACTATTACAGCTGCCCTTACTGAGGCCCTTTGGGAACAAATCTACAATTCAAGACTATCAGAAGTCACCTGTTTTTCTGCAGGTAGTTCACTAAGTGCCATTTAATACATTTTATCTTCCATATTTAATTTGTTGCCTCAGGTCACTGTCTGAAACACTGCAATTATAAATCTCCCCACAGCAGCCTTTAGCTGGAATATGCAAGTAAAAGCAGCAGTGAAAACAGAAGGTATTGATTTCAGGAGTCTCAGTCAATCTCACAGGAAACTTTGCAGGTTCCAGAGCCCCCAGTCAGTAACTTCCCTGCCATGACATTGCCACCAGTGTTGCTATTCACATCAACTGAAATAAAACCACTGCCAGCAACACATGAATACAAAGAGAAGGGCAGAAGTTTTCAGCAGTGCACTTCAGTCACTCTTTGGGTGAGGTGGGGAGAGCTGGATCCTTTAGAAAACATTCAAGGTAACACAGCTCTGACTCTGAAAATCTGTAGGTAAATGAGATAGGTTGTCTACTGACTGCTGCCTCCATAATAAATAGGAAAATACAGTCTTTTGCCAGTGAGACAAAAAGCAGAAATGGAAGAATATAAGCAGAGTTCTTTAAATGCATGTATTTCAGATGATACCTCTAAAGTTGCAATTTTATGAGCCAAAGCAAACAAGAGTAACCATCAGACCTGATTCTTGCTGTATTAAAAACAAACAAGACAACCCCCAACTCTGTAGAATTACATTTAATTTTCAAGCCCTCATACACAAAAAAAGATACAATGAATTAAAACATCTCTGTAAGTTTCAATAATTATTTCTTTCCCCTCTAGATAAAAAGCACAGTAGCTTCTAAAAAAGAAGGAAGAATACTCACCCTCTGTTACTGACAATTGCCTTTTTCAAGTGAATATAATTTGCAGGAAAAATCCCCTGCAAGAATAAAAATTTCCATTAGAAAAATACATTTGCAGTTTTCAGCATTGGTAACCTAAGGCACAATTAATTACTGCCAATTTATCTATTAAGACCCCCCCAAACATCCATTGTGTCAAAGCTGCCAGTCAAAACTCTACACTCAGATTAGTAGCAATTAACTATTTTAGACTTAGACCAGGATACCACATTGGACCAAACCTCCACCTGGGAAGATCAGAAAAAGTGGCTCTTCTGCACTTAGCAGCACAGCACCTGCAGCTCCCAGAGCAGGCTGATGCTGATTAGGAATGACACAGACAGAAGCTTAAAAAGACAAATTAAACAAAACCTAAAGCCCACCATCAAATTTGCATTGAACCCCAAGGACAGAAGTATTCTATTAGTTGCATACCCTGGAGCTATCAGTTCTTCTCCCTTTCCAAGGAAAAGCTGTTCAAACCCACTTGGGACACCTCCAGTTATTTGTCTTTTGCTGCTCCCATGAGGGCTGGACTCTGACCTTGCCTGTGCCAGTGTGCTCTTGTGTGTTGAGACATGGGGAAAAGAGGTAATTTAATCCAACCTTTTCCCAGGGTTCCACATTGTCTGTAAAGCACATGGCCCTGAATCCTAACAGCAAAATCTGTCAGTGTGTAAGAACAGCAACCTGTGCTTCACTGGGAAATACAGAAGCAGCATTGGAAATCTTTGGATTAAAAACCAGCTGACAGCCTCTGACAAAAATGTCAGCAATCAAGTGTGGGCTTTCACTTTTTAGAGCTTTAAAACCATACAATTTTGAAAGAAAAATCTGGAGGGGGGTGGGGGGAGAGGTTGGGGCAGGGGCAGGTTCCTTAGCATCTGGGGACTCCAAATGCTAAGGAGAATTCCTCCTTGTTCATAAGCAAGACTAAACTTATAGAAGGAAAAAAGCTGAATCTAAGAGAAATGGCTTAATCAGGAAAACAGTAAATGTGCTTGTTTTTAGCCACATGAAAATCCAGAAAGAAAAGAAATGATACTTCACTTCCTTGTTTGGTTCATTTCTAGTTCATGCTGCTTATTTCTGGTATCTTAGAAACCAAGGAAGGTTTGAAGGGCTCTCCTATCAAAATTGAACATATACACAAGCAGAAGTGCCAACACAATGACTGCAGACATTTCATTAGGAGAGTATTATAGTAATGACAATGTAATACAGGTAATGTTATATTCCATAATACATAGGTATTAGGTAAACATGAGGGATCTGGTACTCCTCTCTCTTTAAATAAAAACAATATTTAAACCAACAGAAAATAAAGTGAAGCTCATACAGAGGCAACCAATGGCATGTATGGATACAAACATTTAAAAAAAAACTTAGATACCCTCACAAAAACAATCATACCAGAACAGGCAAAAAAGTTCTCCAAGGGCAAAAATAATGGAAAAAAATGGCAAATAAGCAAATCAAATGGTTAAAATACAAAAATCTGAAACCACCCCCAACAACTTACAAAATCCTCTTTCAACAGACTTTTTTCAAAGTTGTCTTAGATTAATAATTCACCTTATTAAACGTGTTCTTTTAAATGCTGCATTTAAGCAGTGCAATATCACCCACCTATGCTTTTCTTAGGGGAGAAGGGTGGAGAGGATCAAACTGGATGAGATTTATAAATGTTGAAAAAATTACATGTTACATGTCAGGAAGGTTTCTGATCCTTTGAGTGATTAATGAGTATCAATCAATTTAAAAAGAAATCCAATCCTCCCACAGGAAAAAAGTTAGAGAAGGAAAATGAAAATTTTACTGGATTGCAACAGTAAAATAGATTTAATCTGCCATTAGATTAACAAATGTATTCATGCTTACCTTGACACTGGGCTTCTTAATGGAAACACCTCTGTACCAACCTGAAACCAGATAAAACACATTATAATTACTTGTGGCACTGCTGTCTTTACACAGAAGCAAACTGACTACAGCTATGCAGTTACTGAGATAATCTAAAAAACCAGCTGTGCCTCACATAGGTGAAATTTTTAAAAGATTTTTTTTATTAGGGTGTTTTGTAAAAATTACTTTTATTTTGCTCTGCACTAATGACAAACCCTTAACAACCAGCAATGCTCTTGTGTGTTCCCATCAGGAATAAAAGCAGATTAGCTAGTTCCCATACTAACAATCCTTAGTCATTGTGGCAAAGATTCATTCAGCACTCAGGGAAGAGTCTGCACTGAACACTTCTTCCAGGCTGGCACATGAGTCTTGTTGCAGTGTTTATCTTGACAAAATCTCCAGACTTCAGAAACCTGTAAAAGCCATTATCATACATTTCTAATGTGCTTTAAACAAATATAAATTCTTTGCATGTGTCTGGTCTTACGTATGTCTGAGTAGAGAACAAGCTTTAGGATCTAATTTACACAGCCCATTATTATTCTTGTATTCCTCATCAGGAAACAGCTCCAGACAGGACAATAAATGAGGAGTAAAACATAATGCTGCTAAAGCTGCAAGTTAAAACAGAAGAACCCAGTTCCTGCTGCTTCCCACAGGTGACAGTGGTGTCACTGCAGGATTCAGCTGGGAATAAAGGGGCTGAAAACCTCACCCAGCTGAGGAGTGGAAAAGCAGCACACGCTGGAGCTGGGCCTGGAACAGCCCAGGACTGCAGGGGACAGTGGGTGCCTTTCTGGGGAGTGGGCCTGGCCCTCCCCAGCCACCCCAAATTCCTGGGCAAACCTGGCCAGGCCAAGCCAAGCTGAGTCCCCAGAGAGCTGCAGCCAGTGTCAGCCAGGCACAGCCCTCACCTGCCAACACCTCACATCAGCTAAATCCACTTCCCATAAAAAGTCCTCTCATTTTCCCTGTGACCTCCTACTTACTGTCTTTTCCCCTCCCTTATTTTAAATTGCACTGGCAAAACCTGCCAGGAATTTGCTATGGAGAATAGAGAAGAACAGAGCAAAGTAACTGGGTATTTTGTCTCTCTTAGAAAAACAACTTCTGATTTGGCTGATTTATAATGAAAGTCTCATTCAGAGGATCAGATGCGGGGAAGAAGGCATTGAATTTACTTTAAAGTCTGCCTGACAGTCTTGAATTTTTATTTTGTTTTAAAAAGGGAATCTAAGTTAATATTAAATAACTGATTCATTCAAAACAATTGCAAAACTTAGTACAGAAAAAATGTAAAAATTAAGATCCATCTTTTTCATTACACATATTTCTCATGAGATAGGACATAATGCAAAGATTTGTTTTCCTATGAAATCATTGTTTATATTTTAAAAATAAACTATTGTTGTTTTGAATTCATTTTAGTTGATCAAACTTTAGGGAAATCCTATCAATATAAACATAAATGCATAAACAACACATACGGATCCTTAACATGAGTGATTTCTAGAACTCCACACAACTGTGCCCACACCTGCTTTTGAGCAACAGATGCTGCATATTTTTAAGGTCACAGAAGAAAATAAATGCATTTATCCTGTGATTCACTGTTACTAATATTAAATATAGTCTGAACCTCAGAAATAACCAGACATTTAAGCTCTAAGACAAACATAATGACAAACTTCTTGGTAAATGGGGAAAAAAGTGGTTTTATCCAAGTTTGTTAACAGACCTGTAAAGAAAAAAAGACCCAGTAAAGGGGCTGACCATTAATAATCTAGATCAGCAGGGTAATAGACAAAAACCTAGCTAATTTCTGAAGCTTTTGTTCTTCATTCCAAAACAAATTTTTAAAGTTTACAATCTCTGTGTTTACATAGTTGTGAAGAACAGGTAAGGAGGGACCCTGAGAAATCACCCAGCTCATCCAAGCCATGTCTCTAAATCTCTACTCTCACTGAGTCTGGTTTGAACAGCATTCAATCACTTACTATCCAGGCTGAGTAACACTGCACTCCTTGGCTGTGGAAAATGATCCATACATTGGTAAAACCTAGAATCCAAGGTATTTCTGCACCAAATTCCAAGGAAACTCTATTTCTGCTACTCCACACAGAGCAGTTTGAAAGCAGTGGTACTGCACAGGCAACTTTTTAGAAGAAACCTCTTTTACAGATCAATACTGACCAGTAAAACTGCGGGTAGCATGTGAAATTTTGGTACAGTACTTGGAAATCTGGCATATTCATGTCAAGTGGAGATGGCAAATCATTACTGGACAACCTATTTCAGTGTTTCAGACAAGATACATTCCCTTTACAACCTGAACTTTTTTTGATTCTATTTGAATATTGGATTTTTTTTTCTTTTGGGTATCATGGAAAACATTTTGTTGACTTCCCTCTCGTAGTTTTTTTCATATATTTGAGAAGTTGTTAAATTTCCTTTAATCTTATAAATTGTGCTCTCCAGATCTTACTTGTTCTTTTATTTTTATCTTTTTTAATGTAGTATAATTTTTTTTAATTCACCCCTCTCTAACTCCGTTCAAGTAAGAGACAGTCAAGGAGCTCAGCAGAAGCTGAAAGCCCCACCGTGCAAAATGCACAAATCATTCTGTATCACAAAATAAAAGCTATGGGGAAAAAGTACAATGCTTTTTTTAAAGGCACATTTAGAAAATTGCATCTGCATTACATTATTCCCTAAAATGAACTAAACTTGCATTCTGGAATTAGTCTTAAACACATTAATATTGATGTAATCATTTATCTTCAAGAGCATTTGTTTTGGAGGATTTAATGACAATAGTCATCAAGCTGAGGCAGGTGCTTCAGCTAATTGTGACCCCAACAAGCACTGACCAGCAGCTTTAGGTGTCGCTGCACTGCAGATAATATTTCAGAGTTATGGCATGCATTTAGTGACACATAGACTTCAGAGGGTACTGACTTCACAGAAATTGTGAAGAAGATGGAATTTAAAATCAAGTGGAAAAACACAGCTATAAAGTGACAAGAATTTTGTGCATAAATTAATATGAAACAATGATCATGCCTGCAGTGAGGCTGGGAGAGGACACAGCTGAGATGGCTGACCTGAATCAGCCAAAGGGATATTCCATATCACACACTTAGTTTTCTTTCATTTTGTGCAAGAAAACCAAGTATTAGTCTATCAGAAATGCCACTCTAAAACTACCTGTACCTGTGGAAATCCAGTGGGGGAACTTGAAGTCACATTAGAGAATCTGCAAACTGTTGGACAAAGACTGAAAACCCCTCTTTCCAAAGGTGTGTCACACTCAGTCTCAGCAATAGTGCAGCCTGAGTTAAGTGCAAAAGTAGCTCTGGGGCAGTCCTGCACATCTCAACCTCTTCACTTCAGTGACTGGAAGAGCTACCAATGATTTTTTGATCTTTACTTGAAAATGTGTTGAACAAAAATGGATATTCTTTCTAAAAGCCATCTCATAACCTTTTTCAGATTTCCACTTAATCCACAAGAAGTCTGTCCGTGGAACAGCTCATCCTTTTAGGGGACACAGTAACAAAAAAGCAAAAGGGTCCTAATTGAAAGATACTGATCTACTTTTCAGAAAAATAATGCTCAAGTATCAGTGTTAAGTAAAGAATCATGAGCTACAGACTGTAGGAAAAAATAAATACTGCATATAACTTCTTGACAAACAAAATTCTGAAAATAAATTATGTAAGTATTTATGGTAAATCCTAAAGCTAAAATTTGTTCTTAAATAAAGTACTGCTAGTAGAATCTCCTACAGGAACTCAATCATTCTTTGTGCTATAAAAATAAATGTACTTGGCAGTAATGTGAGTAGCCTTCACACCTGGAGCAAAGCAGTCTTTTGCACATACAAGCCAATGAACAATTGCTTTTACCTTGTTATCTGCATGTGAACTGCTTTGCAGAGCTGAAGGCACCCAAAGTGACTCAGGAGAGGGACAGGAGCAGTGCTCAGCAAAAGCTTCCCAAAGCCAGGAGCGCTCTGTCCCGCGCTGGCTGCTTGGCTCGGGCAGGAGGAGCAGCAGCTGAGTCCCTGCCCCAGTCTGCCTGCACCACGTCAGCGAGCAGCCCTGGGCCAGCAGAGCCACAGGAACGTGCTGATAATGCTGCCAGGGCTGCATCATTACCACGACAAAAGGCAAAGAGAGATGGGATGTGTTTTACTGTGGCATGAAGCAGAGCTGTGAGTCTGAGAGGCTTCACTTCCACGGGCACAGTCCACAAAATGCAAAGAGGGAAAAAAGAATGAAAAGGAGGGGGGAAAACCAATAGGAAAATTAATATCTCACTGGAGACATCTTCCTCAGGCCAAAAACAAATTACTGGGAAGGAGTCACTTTGGCTCAGGTAGCCAAAGTGCTCCTGACTCGGATGGGAGGAAACCTGCAGGGCTCCCACAGCACTGACAGCCTGGAGTGGGACTCCTCCCTCATCTGTATGGCACAGCTTGGAAGCATGGCAAAGGCATCACTTCTCAAGCACACTGAATTCATCAAGGACTTTTTAAAAACCCTAATTGCAAGTTATATCTGCTGCTTAAGTGTCCCAAATACCAGAAACACTTATTTTGACTGTGCCATCACTGCTGGAATAATTTTAAATATATTTTATGCATGATTTAAGAACACAATTATTAATTTACACACACAAAAACCATGTAGATAAATACTTGTGTGGCTAGCAGAATTTGCATGGGCAAGATAATATTCTTTTAACTAGTGCTTCAGGCATCAGCTGGTGTTTCCATTCTTCAGTGAATATACAAAATTCTCAAGGTAATAATTACAGTTACTGAAGTTTTTTAATCTAAATAAAATTGCCCTCTAGCAATAAAAACAAATGGACAAAACAGACATTTTAAATTTAGTTTGAATGCCACTAGTTACTGACAGCCACTGCCTGTGGCAGGGCAATGGCCCTGTGACTTGAAAGACAGAGTGCACTTCAGAATGCACAGTCCAAATGTATATTTCAAACAAGGAACGTGCTCATACTGTGCCACTTGACAAAAGAAAACTCCATCTTTCAGCATTTCCAGTGCCACACTCATGCCCCTAGGCACAGCAGGCAGAGCAGAGCTCTGCTTGGTGTTTCAGCTCTCCCTCGGTGCCAAGATCACAGTGGAGGGGCTCAGAGAGGGGAAAGCTGTGAATGACAAGCACAGGTCCAAGTGGTGCCTTGATGAACATTTCTAATCTTTGAGTGAGACCAGTGGAGGATCTGAGAGTCCTTTGTGAAAGCAGTAACTACAAAACCTCCCTGGTAAGACCTCGTGCTTTGCAGACGATGTGTGCTTGATGGAAACACGGGAGGAGCCCTTGGCAGCTGCAGAGGTACCAAGTCCATGACTTTTATTTACTGGAATATTGGGCAGTGGAGGGGGGGGGCTTTGTCAGACCTAGGAAGGGTTAAAAACCAGTGATTTAGATATTTGTGGTCTGGTATGAAGGCACACAGAGGGGCAGACACACAAATCTGGGAAAATCCAAAATTTCAAGCATGGGAACAAGATCCAAACTAAAAAAGATTACTCTATTTCACTCTATTTCATTTAAAAAATACATAGATAACCATTTTTAAATATTTTAATTTTTTAACATGTTATCATTTGGTAGTTATATTTATATTTATTAACCTTAGAGATAAATACATGTATGTGGGTGTATGTACCTACATTTGTTTCTTTCCTCTGCAAAAATCTATAAAACTTAGCTGCAGTGATACTCAAAATCTCGAAATAGGAAATTACCTTCTCTTTCATTCAATTGCTCTAAAAGCATGGACTGCTTCTTACACCAATCACTACAGAAGAACACTTGCTCTTTTATAATACAAATACAGTTATTCAGTAAATTATTATGATTAAAAATAAGCACATCCAGAAGTATAGATACTCTTTGAATCTTTGTCAGCCTTGAATTCTCTGAGACAAATTCTTCAGGCAAATCCCTGAAATCATAGCTCACATCACTAAAAGTTTTTGTGTATGTGAATCTTTTCAATCCAGACAGAAAAATCCCTGCTGCAGACAATTATACATAAACTATTCAAGAAGTGAAGCTGAAACAGCAATGGATCTCCTGTGACTCTCACAGCAGTGACCCTTATTTTGTGTGGGTTAACATTATTTTATTCAGTCTGTCTACACAAAAGAATCCCCAGCAAAGAATGCAGAAGTAGAGGACCTTGTTAAACAACCACTTAGACAAGAATGCTTAAAAAGCAACTGGGTTTTTTTTTCCCTTTTAAGAGCCTACTTTGCACATTTAGTGTGCTTTTTTGCATAATTCACACATGCAAGAGCTGTAGCACAGACCATCTGAATATTCAGATGAGTTTCATAGTGGGGAGTTCCAGATGTTATTATCAAAATTAATCTTTTTATACACAAAGCCCATGGTAAAGCCACCTCAACCAAAATGACAGGATGGAGGGCTTAAAATACAAAACCAAAAAACTTCTGTACAAACCATCTTCCATCCAGGAAAACCCTGTCTGAGGACCTCCTTTCTCAGCAATTTGAAGACTGGCATGAATTGCTCTTGAGGAATCATCCCTAAAACCACCAGCAAAGGAAATACTCAAAGCCTAATTATTTTAACACTGTAAAGAAAAGTTGGATTATCCATTTGCTTTTCCATAAAAAACCTGCTCCTGGGAGATCATGCTTTTATCTCCCAGTTTTAAAATTTTTTTCAGAAATGGTTGTAAAATACCATGACGGCTTTCGGCAACATACACTGTTTAATTCCCTTAGATTTATCCCATCCTAAGCAAAGGAATACTTTTTTCCTGAGCTTGCACCACGTTCTAATTTTCAAGACCTGGTAGAATAATTACAATCTGCCCTCAGTGTGTGAGCACAGTTTAGCCCATAATAGCACTTGTGGTTTTTAAAAAAACATGGGATTGTTTACAGAAAGCTTCTTTGTGGGTAATTTTCTCCACTGCACTGCAAAGCTCTCATTCAACAGAATTTTTACAAATGCACATTACTAGAAAAATTAGCATAGAGAAGGTGACTTTTTTTGTGACAAGTTAAGTCAGAGGGAAAACAAACACCTGAGTACAAGAAAAAAGCATCAAAAGCAAAAGACAGTTCTAGGCATGAGGGAGGCAAAGCAGAGCCTGCTGACAAGCATGCAGAAGGTCTGGGGAGCAACATTACAGTGGAGATGAAAAATTACTTGAAACTGAAAAAACAAAAAACCACATCTACAAATTTGTGGAACGTTGATTTGGAATTCAAATTTGTGGATCTGGGTTTTGAATTTGTTCAACACTTCAGGAATAAGGTTGCATTATTCCACCTCAGACTACAGTGAAACATGTACTCTTACTGTGTCTTGTCAACCTACTTCTCACCAGACACTTTTACAACACTTGCTTGAACATTAGGATAAGAATAATTCTCCTTTTACATACAACTTCAATCACATTCTTCATTGTGCATAAAGCAGAGCATTAGGACATTCGATTTATTCACACACAGACATCTCCAGCCACATAAGAACTATAAAATTTACAATGGCATTTTGCTTCAGGTACAAAAACACACATCAAGATAAATGCAAAAAAATCTCCACTAAACCCATATTTTTTACATTTTTTTACGATATTGCTAATCTATTTAATAACTACTATTTTTCACCTGTTCAGATATTTCTAAATAATTAATCTGATACACTTAATAGAAATGCATTACAGTAACACTGAGAAAATACAGTAAAAAAAGATACTAATTCTACACTTTACATTATGAAAATTCAGTGTAAGACCCAGTTACAACACAACAATCAGGTCAGGGTTCAAGATTTTCTGGACAGATGGTTAACTTCAAACACACTGACCCCCTATCAGACTGGATTAGTGCCAGGAGCATTCAGCCTTTCCTATGGAAAGTGGGTCAGAGTAGGTTTTATTCAAGTGCTTTGATTTGATGCATCATGATTTCCAAAGAACTTATTAAAATCTACTAGATTAAGATATTGGCATATTCTTACATAGAAAATGGGGTTCCCTCTTGGACATCACACTTACCTTCACATTTCTCCAGGATCTGGACAGTTTCACCTAGTTCCAGGACCAAGCCTTGCGGAACAGTTCCTCGGAAGCTGCATATCACTGGAGGGTGGGGAAAAAGAGAGAGAGACATATGAGGCTTGGATCTTTGTGTGAATTTTCTTCTAAGCATAGCCCTTTAGCTCACTCCCTGCATAAAAATAGCTCTTACATAGCTGCCCAGAAAACCTGTCAACTTTTCCTGATCAGGTGTGTTTATTCCGACCCTTATTAGAAATTAAGCTCAACAATACAACAATAAAAGCTGAGTTTTTAAAAAGATTTTTTAATTAAGCAAGGCTTGTAATCACTTTAATCAGCATCCTGTGATTTATATTGCATACAAAGATTTCCTTGTCTCACAATTCTTACTCTACTCCACAACCCATCAATGGAACAGTATGCCCAAATTGCAGAGATTACGACAGGAAATCAACTCCAGCAATGATTTTTCTCCATGTTGAAACTATTTCAAATATCATCTGTGCATCTAATAGACTACAAAAATCCTATAATACCATAGATTATATTTAAGCAGACATATAAAATAATGAATAAGAATCTGTACTTTTCATAAGCACTATATAACATGATAACACATCTTACTTTTCCAGGTATCTTTAATTTTCATTAACCAGGGAAAATAAGAACCCGTCTTAATGTTTCAGAAAACATTAATACAATAAATAAAAATATTAAATGAAACTCGATTTTTAAAATAAGTTTTTAGAATTCAGAGTGTAGAATGATATATTCTTCAGCTACATTTACCAAAGTACAACAGGGACACGAACATGGGTAGTTCCCTCAAACATGAGATGTCAGAACAAAGGGTGAATTGCCGGTATGGTCATAGTTCCCCCCAGGCCCAGCATTAAAAACTCCTCCAGGCACAGATTTAATGCAGGCACTCCAGTACCTTGCTCCAGGTAAACACACACTCAGGAGACCCTGCACACACACCCCCAAGCATTACAAGTGGAATTCCAGAGTTGAGACAGTGACCCCCAGTGGGCACCACCCTTTTCTCCAATTCAAGGGAACACTCACTCCCCTCGGAATGCAAACACTCCAGCTGTGGCCAAGATGTTCCCAGTGATGGAGGCACAATTCACAGAATATTCAGAGTTGGAAGGGACCCACCAGGATCACTGAGTCCAACTCAAGAGAATCATAGAGGGATCAAACCCACAGCCCTGGAGTTCCCAGCACCATGCTCCAACCAGCTGAGTCCAGCTCCTCCCTAAGGATCTTCCCATGCCAAAGCCATGAGTCCCTTCTGACTGCATGTGAAGCAAACAGGCTGAAGTCCAGGGGAAGAACAACATGGAACCCAAGAGTCCCATCTGTACCATGTACCACAAGGTAGGTCTCTTGAACCTTGAATTTCTAAGAAATAATGAGAAACAGAGAGACAGAACTTCCACCAAAACAAAACTGCATTTTAACCCTTTGCACACACTTCATAATGGGCAAGAGAAACAAAGAACAAGCTATATCCACCAGGCAAACATCCAGATGAGGCCAATACAAGAAAGAATGGGGAAAAAAAATCTAAAGGGAACAAAATGGCATCAAATGCTTGCATTTCCAGAGTGATATCCAATGCAGGATTTAATCCCAAGAGTTAAAAACTCAGAATTTCATCAGCAAACCTAAACTGCTCTCTCAGCTCTTATGGCCCAGCAGAAGTCAGTTAAATGAGGCTTTAAATTCTTGTTTACATCAGAGGCGGGAGAAACACAACAACTGGCTCCAGACTGGAATAATGCAGACAGCATAATCCAACAAAAACTAAGCTCATCAGCATTCCACATCCATTCTTCACCCATGAAGAAATCATAAATATGGATTTCAACCAAAGAAAAACTACTTAAAGCCTCTCCCAAAGTGCAGAAACACTGACAACTGAAATGATGAACTGGCAGGACATAATCAAACCTCCAGTGGCTTTTCCTTCTTTTTTTTTTCATTTTAGTTATTTTTTTGTACCTTCAGTATTTTAGATAGCCGGATCCTTTAAATACAGAAAATGTTCTCTTTTTTCTAATTTGCAATTTTACTGAATTATGAACATACAAGTTGATTTGCAAAATACCACAAAGTCCTGTATTAAAATGTGATTTTTTAGTTCAAACCAACAAAGCCACTAAAAACTTCACATATGTCTCAATAAGGGGAATTTCAAACACCTTGGGTAAAAAGGTACCTTCGAAAACACCAGAAAAAAAAACAAAGAAGCGTTAATACAGTACTAAGATATTCATTTATGAGAGTAATTTTAGATACATTCTTAATTTTAAGAATTAATATAGGCATGATTTAATATTAAAAGCCCGTTTCTAGACCATTCTCATCTTTTCTGAACATGCCATGGATCTTGTGACAGAGACACCAGTCATGGGACATGTGTGTGTTAGTGGCTGTAGACAATAGAAAAGTTAAATCATGGTGGAAAAACAACTCTACTGGTCTTACTCAGCCAAGCCCAACAAGTAACTCTGAAAAGTATTATTGCATGTTAACACTGCATTATGTGCTCTGAATTAACAAACAGCAGCTGACTTCCTATGACAACTATTTACTATATTAAAGCTACTGAATCAAGGACGGAGCTGGGACAGAAATTACCAGTTCTTTGGCCATCAAATATCTGACTATTACGTAATAATACAGGCGAGTTTGGAATAGAAGCTAAAGGAGAGGTACCAGGAAAAGACAGTACACGTTTTTTTTTCAGTTGCTGATGGAATAATTTTTAAAAATATGGTCAGGAATGGTGACTTAAATATATTTTAGTATTACAGGAAGTAATTCTAATCCTCATACAAACGTAACACCCTCCCCCTTCATTCTCAATACAACAGTACAGAATCTAATTCCTTTTTTAATCATCAATAAATTATGTTAGTCTCTTCTGTTTGACATTTTTTATAATCAATCTGTCGGATCAGTGAACAGCAATATAGATATTATCGAAACAGTGGAAGCCAAATCTCAAGAGTAAATTATTTTCGAGCCACACTAAATCAAGGTCAGGAAAAATTAAAGAATCCAAATAAACTGACCCAATAGATCAAACTGTCTTGCTAAACTGTGTAACAAAAATAAAATTTAACATTCCTGAAATAAAAGAGAATGGTAAAAGCAACACCCAATTATGACATAATCACAGAAATTTAAGGCACTTTTATAGTCTAATTTATTATTACAACAGTTACTTCCAAAAAAGTTATGGATGTTACTCATTTGTTAAGCTAAATATGCATTATGGAAGACAATCTTATTTATAAAGTCCCATTTAAGGTACACAGTTCTTAGCAGCATTATTTGAAAAATATGATCACAAATATAAATGAGAAATAGAGTAATTCAATTATTCTGAAGAAAACCATTTACAGAAAGAACTCTGACAACTGATTTCTTTCCTTTCCACCGAGAAATTCTTTACCCAACATTATCACCTACAAACTGTCCATCAATCCATAAGCTTCCATCATTTCTTACAAGATCCATGTCCTCAGTCACCAGAACATACAAGCAACACATCAGCAAAACAGGCACAAAGCAAAGCTTTTACCCACCAGTTTACAGGTCTGACAGATCCCTCTTGGATTCCAGGACACACTGCTGAAATATTTAATATACATTTTCAGATAGGAAGCCCCTTGCCATCATTCAGGTCTATAAGGAGGTCGTAGTTCCCCTCACAAAGTCATTTCAGCCAGCAGTTAATGCTAACATTTGCTAAAGAGGAAAGCTTTGAAAAAGCACCACATGCCATGTGATACAGGAATTATCTCCAAGACTGAAGTCCCTTATCTGTGGTACTTAAACTGGACCATAGTGAAGGAAATCCTTCCCTCTTCACCTCTGGAATTTATCAGTAAGAAAGGCACAAACCAGTTCACACAGCCAGTGACCCTCAGTGACCAGAACATATGAAGGAATTGTGGGGTACAACATATAAGAACAGATGGCCTGGGGATAATGGTTTCAAAAGTTAAGGATCCAGGAGATGATAGATTTTTCCTTGCCCATAGATATGCCCTGACACAGTATAATATAAACAGCTGCACTGCAAGTCACCCTCAAAAGATAAACAGGACCTGTTAAGCCAATGCATCTTTGTGCACCTCTGATTCCTCCTGTGCTCCACCTAAAGCAGCTCCTTGATATGTAAACAAAGAAGATCCAATTGATACAATTCAAGAGGTTTTACAAACTATGTTCTCAAACAGCCCCCGTCAATAGCTCTTGAAAAAACTGCACTTGGCTGTGATAAAGTGGGAAGGAGTTTGCATAGATAAATAATCAGCAAAGTGATGTGAAATAAAAGAGTCATTTCCCTTAGTGAGGACAGGTTGAGCAGCAAGCTCTGAAGGGATCTCTGTTGGAATCTTTCCTGTTTCAAGTATTCCTAAATAATCCAAAAAAGCTAATCGTTTAGAGAAGCCACAAAGTTTATAAGGCCACTCAGGCTATTCAGAGTAATAAAGAGCTATAAATGGACCCAAGCTCCACAAGCAGAACTGGCAGATGAGCAGTGTTCTGTTCACTTGTGTGGCATTCCATAAGGGATGAACAGTCCTCACCTCACACACAAAATCATTATCTCCCTTGCCACACTGAGCAGAATGTCAGAGGCCTTACCATAAAACTCAGTGTTCAGCCACTGTCAGAGACCACCCCACATCACACAGAACATTGTCTTGGGGAAAAAGGGAAGACACCATTACCCACGGCACTGCATAAAATTCCCAATAAACCCCATGTTCCAGTTTTCCCCTTTGTCAAAAAGAACTGTACAGCTTAAGAACAGGTAGAAAGAAGTGAGAGAGAACATAGCAAGGACTGAATATGGACTTTTATGTGAATGATTGTTAACCAAGATGGGACTTCTGTACCAGAAAGGCTGAAAGGGTGGAGAGGGGATAACTGACAGAAAGTGCACAGGGAACTGTTGCTATTCACCTCTTCCAGTTCAAAAAAGCAAAGCAGTGTCAAATGAAGCAGCAGAATTCAAAGCGTAATTAAAGTACTTTTCCACACAGTGCACAAACTGTGAAACTCCTCATGAGATACTGTGGGTGACAGCAATTAAATAATCACTCGAGCCCCAAAGCCAAGAGGACAAATCGATGGCTGTGTCCCGCCCTCGGCTCTGCAAGGCCGTGTCCCCGGCAGCAGCGGAGCCTGGGGAAAGCTGCACCGCTGACTGCAGCCAGGGACAGCGGGCACGGCACGGCGCTGGAATCCGGGATTGTCACGGACTCACCGCCTGAGTTCTGCTGTCCCGTGCCAGCGACTGCTTAGGGAGCTCATCTGAACACCAGGATGCCAAAGAGGAGAGCACAACTCGTAGAAATGCTGAGTCAGATTTCACCTGTGTCATTGTTTCATTTTGTGGTTTCATTTTGGCGGTGATATATTTTAAAATTTATCTTGCTATTGTAATTCTTTCCAATTCATGTCCCTGCGTCCCAACCGCCCCACCCAGTCTCATCTGGGCTGCAATGCTGCCACTGATCATTTGTCTTCTCAAATGGATGTCAATGCCCTGATGACCACAGTGATAGAAATGTGTCACATTTGTCACAGCAACGGTGGGAAAACCCAGGACAACAACAGGGAAACACCAGAACTACCCAGCCCAACACATCCAGCTGCGCATTCCCTTAAAACATCTTTTTTTTCTTAGCATTTACTCAAAGTTATGCAATGAACTGACAGGACTATATGCCTTCTCATGTACTTACTTATTTTTTTAACCTATTTCTACACATTTCACTGAAGACTACAAAAATATTTTTATCTGGTATAATGTTCTATTTACACTACATAATATCCCTTCAGCTCATGAGTAATTTGTTTATTTTCAAAAAGGAACAGAGCCCTTTCCCTCCTCACTGTCCAAGATGCAACAATGAAAATCAGAAGTACTTATTTAAGTGAGGGCTGAGAAACAAAATCAGTTCAAGAGCTTTCCATGTTTACATTGTTTCTTTTTCCTTCTCCAAATCTAAACTATGTGTCTCTAAATCATTAAGTAGGGCTTTTAAAAAATTATTATTTATTTCCCAGGTTTTCACATCCACAATAGAAATCATTAACACTGGAACAGATCCAATATGCTAAATGACATTTTGATTTTTCTTTCTCATAAGATGTTGGCAATGCCATGATTTAATGGACTCTATGGGTTAATTGGCGGGGGGGGGAGATTGTAATTTTGTGAATTTTCAACACATCTCCATTTACGAAAGATAGATCTTGGACTTCATGGCAGTTTTTTCCAGTTCTCAACTCATTGTTAATATTATCTGCCTTATTAAAATTCTGGTAGCATGCAATATGTTTAGATGACACTTGCAGAACAAGAGTTTCAGATTAAAGTATGTCATTTAATTTTTATAAAAAACTACTGAGTGTATCACACTTGCATGCAGTTATTCAGATTATGCACTGACCATCCTCAGTAGACCTTAAACTAAACCCATTTCAGGAGGAATGGCAGGGAGAACACAG